TTCACAGATCAAGCACGGTTTTAGCAGAGATATGTCCTGCGCAACAAATTTTTTCTACTGTTTAGAACGGACTACTGAGGGAGTCGATAGTGGGAATTCAGTGCACACAAAAAGACTTTCGATAGCGTGCCGCACCACCCCCTTCTTTCTTAATCCAGCCGCATAAGAGAAAGAGGTAGGCTTCTTGCATGGACAGAAAGTTACTAAGTCAGCTGCTCGCAAACTGTCCACATCAGCGACAAACAGTCAGCCAAGGTTGCGATTGAGGGTTGTGTTCCCTTAGGTTCCGTTATCGGCCCTATCTTGTTCATTAACTACGGCAACATTTAGCAAAGATGGTGAGAGAGGGTAGGGGACGAAAACCTCTTCAGAGGTTGACTATGTAGTGGATCATAGAAACATAAGTATATGAAAACCAATTTAATTTAACCGGAACCACCTCAAACATCAGGAGGAGCTTTCTCAGAGTTCAATAGTCGTGATTTTGGAAGTAGAACTGATTACAAAACTGTATATCTTTCAAATTTAAATCTTGGCGTTAGTTAGCTTCGATACCTGCTTAGATAGACAACAACCTTAGTACTCCAGGGGAAGGCATCTTTACAGTCAAGAAATCGAAAACGGGTAAATGCGACAATATGTCACTTCAAGTCACTTTACTAAGGGAAGAGGGCTTTCGCCAGTGAGCTCCCTAATCATTAACAAAAATCGCAAAATAGGTCCACCGTTAAAATAGTACATAATACAAATGTACAAATGTAGGCTTAACATCAGCGATAAGTGTAAGCCAGTTGCAAAATGCTGCTATTGACACTTTGTTCATTATATCTGCCACAATTTCTCAGCAAATGAGTGCTGCTACTGAAACTTTGTTCATTATATCTGCCACAATTTCTCAGCAAATGAGAATCAAGTTTGTTTTTGAATGTCAGCAGTATCTGAGAGGACCACTTCTTCATGGAGTCCGTTCCACCCTCCAATGACCCTCTGAGAGAAGGCGTTTCGTCGAACGTCGATA